GAGAATTGTATCTTGCTCCTCAGGAGGTACAGGAAAGTGCCTTGTGCCGTGGATGTTCTCAACACTGATCATATACAGTAGAATATGAGGAAGTACCTGAAACCCAGTCTTCTAAAAGTTAGAAGTTTGAATAACATAAAGTAAGACCCAATGTCCCTTGGTAAATGGTTGAAATTTATAAATAGTCTCAGATGGAAATCAGGTGCTTGGCATTAGCAGTGTGATTCACAAAATTTAAAATCGGTTGCTCGAGTACCTAAGCATCCAGAAACACCTGCAGTTCTGCATCCCTGCATGCCCAGACGTGCTGTTCTCTTGGCTGAGCTGACTGGCTTGGTGCCTGTCTCCTGCCTGAAGCCATTTGGCCCAGTTAGATGGCAGGATCTGTAGTGTGCCAGCAGCATCGTCTCCTGCTCTGCAGTCTCGTCTCCTGCAGCTGAGCGCACTGCAGGTCAGTTGGATGCTGGCTGGCTCCTTACGATAGCTGTGGAGTCAGAGCATTCATACAGGGAAGGGGAGACTTAGGGCTTACGCCTGCCTCAGGGTGTGAGAAATAAAGATGAGGTTCCCGTGGCATATTGCAACTGTGAGGGCAGGGATGGTGCAGGGTTTGGCCCCTTCTCCTGAAGGTTGGCTTCTCTGCAGAAAGGACTGCAGGAGTGGTGGGGTCAGGAACAGTATAAAGAAACAAAATTCCTGCTTTGCAGGCAGTTGGTATCTTCAGAAAGAAGACTTCTGCATTCTGGTGGTGGCATCAAAATTATAATGGCACTGTTACAATTTATCTTTAATTCACTATTGGTAGCTAGTGACAAAAGCAGGGATGGGAATCCAGAATCCTTAATTCCTTCAGAAGAGCTCTGGCCTCTCCTTTAGTAGGCCAAAGATGAGCTGTCCCATCACCTCTGCATTATTCTCATTATGTATATTACAAGAAAATTGGGAGCTATTTTCTGTAAATAGAGAACTGATTTAAGTGCACAGGTCCAGGCAGGAGTTTCAAATTGGCATTTCCAGACTAGAATTCAGAGTTTCCTGTCAGTAGATCTGGGTGTTTCACTTTTATCCCAGTCACACAGCCCAGTGTGTATTGCACATCTTATTTCTGGAGGGTTTTCCCTCTGCAGTCCCTCTCTATGTCCCTAGCCAAGCTATTGAGAGTTTATCTGGCCATACCTGAACTGGGGATTACACTTTGGATGCTGAATTTTGTGCAAGTAAATGCACAGCAGAGAGGTCTTTTGTACACCGTAGTCTCCACCTCAGTTAGTGTTGGCTTTCTGCTGTAGTTGGTTACCTTGAGAATCTGGTCTCACTGGATTGAACAGAACTGGTTAATCTCTAGTTGTTGCATTTTTAAAGAGCTTTTCTTTATAGCAATCTGGTTTTGTCTCACAGGCCAGTTCTCCGCTCAAAGCAAAGGAACCCAGCATGGTGGATGTAAATCCTTCTGAAAGCACTCACTTTCGGGTCATCCAAAGTTCTCCTATAGAGGAGTTTAACACTGTGTCTCCTCTGCTTGCCCTTGGACAAGCAGATGCAGCAACTGCTGATGAAAGTGAGCCCTTACCAGCTGAGACAAATAAGCCAGAGACTGAGTCTCCAGGAGCAGCTGTACCACCGTTGCCTGCCAATGAAGAAATAAAACAATCTGCAGCTTGCTCAGCCCAACCAGCTGGCAAGACAGATTCCCCTTCCAGAAAGAAAGGTAAAGCTGTTGATTCTGCACTTTTATATGTATGATTTTGTCTATAAATTTCATGGTGATAAAGCACGTCATTGTCATATAAATTAATCTGTGCCTGAAGGCACTTTTGGGTTTGGAAAGGAATAAGCTTTGTAAAGCACCTTCAGAATCTGAGCTGTGCAGCAGGCTGTTCAAAGGAGCCATGTAGTAAGGTAGAAGATTCTCCTTGGTGTGGGATTTTTGGCATCACTTTGCTTATGAGCAAGACCGCAAAACTTGCTGCAAGTTCATCCGTATTTGACAGGTTCAGAGATTTCACTTTTTGGTACAAGCACACTGTAGATCTGCTGGTCCACCTGCTCTGACTGCTTTCAGAGTCGTTATGTGTTGCTGGTAATTGTGGAACCTCTCTGCTCTAGTACAAAGTTGTAGTATGTCTTTTGCACAAACAACAGATTTGCTATAAAATAAGGTACTTTTGTTTCACATGAGCAATTTCAGTTCCGTGTGGTACGTGTCCTGTCCTGAATTTGTGAAACATAACTCTTGTCTTCTTTTCTGCTTCTTAATTTCTGGGCTCTATATCCATGGTATTTTATAATAAGTGTTACAATCTTCACATGAAACTTACTTGCTTACAGATGCTGTGTTTTAGAGCTCTGATGGTTCTATGATTGTGGAAGCCCTATATAAGCCTAGATTGTGCAGCTGCTTTTTAATCAGTAAACGTACCAATTTCTTAGCCACTTCCCTATGCATTCCACTGTCTTTGAAGACAAAAAAATGACAGTGTTACTCTGCTTGCTATCCAGTCTTTACATAACTTTTTTTCTGATTGATTTTCTGATGTTTGATGTTGGAAATTGGGACAGTGAGAAGTTGTGGGTTTTAGAATGAAATCCAAATTAGCTTTTGGCTTTACAGTATTTACTTGTCTAGGTGTACCAGCAACAACAGGACGGTGATGGCTCTGTGTGTTGGTACTAGTGAAAGACCTGGGAGGGTTGTCTTATCCCCTGCAATGGTGCATGTGCATGCACAACGCATCAGCTGTCTGTGCTAAACCGCAAGTTGTCTCCATAACAAGCTAGTTATATAGAGTATTCATGACTATACTACAGTCTGTTGTGTTCCTTCCCTTTTGCAAGGGGGGATTGAAGATTGGTTCTTGGAGATTAAATGCACTGATTGCCTTACTGTGATAATAGGCCTATGCAAATACTCAAAAGTTTTCCTGTCGCTGTTTGCCTATAGTGACCACTGACTTCCTATCCCAGACAAAACCACCGGGAATTAGGAGGCTTTGGTTTATCTCAGAACTAGTCCTCTGCTGCCCCATTTTTTGTATTCCAAGTCTGAAAAATGTATATCAGCAATTTTGTTTTGAAATTTTTGGCAGTACCAATTTATACAAATACAGTTCACAAATTATTGTAAGTGTCTGGTTTCTCGATCTTAAAATGAATAATTAAACAGTAATAACAATTCTGGATTGTTACTCAGAAAATGCTCATTAATAGGCTTATTTGTGTCATCCCTTACAGACAAACGAAGCCGGCATCTTGGTGCTGATGGTGTCTATTTAGATGACCTCACTGACATGGATCCAGAAGTTGCTGCACTTTATTTTCCCAAGAAGTACAAGTCCTTTGCTTATATTTTTACTATTTAAAGAGCTCTTGTCACCTTCCAGATTTAGATCAAACTCTTCATTGCCAACCAGATAAGACCTCTTTTTTAGAATCCAAGACAAGGTGAAGGCAGAAGGAAAATAAAACTCTGTAGAGAGGAGTATTAGAGCTTTTGGAAGGCCCTGCATGTGGGCCCGAGAAGTGTGCTTGAAACTGATTTTCTATTTTGGTCAATTAAGCATGATACATTGATTGTGGATTGTTATGTAACGTACACTGGTGTTTGTGAGTGTTACTCGCATGCCCTGGGAGACCAGTCGGCCTTGGGATATATTTATCTCCATGTCCTTGCTTATTACTGTGAAGAACATATCTTACTGCTAACAGTATTAGCACAAAGTTATTGCTTTAATGTTGTTCTACGATGGGTGACCATCTATAAATACAAATGTTAGAAAATAAGTTTTGGAAGACACATGATCGATTTATTTATGAAGATATTGCACCCCAAACATATGATTTCCAACTAGTTCTGATCTTTACTAGAGCCTCTTATAACATTTATAGTCCTCTTTCCACATCATACTCTAGTAATTTGAATAAAGTCATTGAGCAACAGCTAAAGTAGCTTGCATATTTTATTTTTCCTTCTTGCTTGCTTAAACTCAGCTGTTGTAATACTAGCATCTCAGTAAAACTGAGAAAGACTAGTAATATGGAGAAAAAGGAATTTTTAGCCCAACTTTTCTCAAATGCATTCATATAAATTTGGAATGGAAAGCAGAATTGTTTGAGCCTGCACTTTGTTATCATGTCTCATCTATACACAGATTTTAAATGGGTATAATGATTGGTTGTTTCTTAAAATTTTAATCCTGGTAGTTTATATGTAGAGTATTTTATTTATATACATGTGACATAAATACACAAACATACACTTCCTTTGTTTTGGGTTTAGCTATTGGTTTATATAATTAATATACATTAAATAATAAACTAATATGTTTATTCTTGTTCCTGTGTGGGAATAGTTCTACTATATAAACTCTGCTTATAGTAGTGTTATTTTGTCTAAGATTGTACAGTTTGTCTTATTTTTCCTATCTCTTGTAAATAAGTGAAGCTATAATTATGCATGCCTAGTTTAGGCAAGTAAGTACAAGCAGTCCATTATTTGAGGGTACCTGAGGCCTATACTACTTTTTTTAAAAAAAAGAAAATTAAGGCAAAAGCAAGCAGTTTTTGTTTGTTTGCTTGCTGGGTTGTTTTTTTTTTTCCCTTTTTTCCTAAGTGCGTGTCAGATGTAAACAGTGCTTGTTAAAGGGAGCGAATTTGGGGAGCGAATTTGGGGATGAATAAATGAAGACTGAATTAATAATTTTTCTTTTCCAGTGGGGATAACGTCCAAAGCAAGAACACAAACGACACGGGGCCGCGGTCTGCCAGCCAGTCTCCGCAGTCTGTTGGGAGCTCAGGTGTTGACAGTGGAGTTGAAAGCACCTCGGATGGAATTCGGGACTTGCCCTCCATTGCCATTTCTCTCTGCGGGGGCCTTACTGACAACAAAGAAATAACCAAAGGTACAGAATGACTTTCTGGATTACATACATGTGCTATCAGCCAAGTTTTAGCATCCTAGACTGAGGAAGCAGTGCCCTCCTGTGGCTGTACTCAAGAATGTGTTGAGAAGATAAATATTGTCCCTGTAATGATAATTTTTCATACTTAAAATAGTAGACCTATAGGACTTCTGATTTTTTTTTTTTTAACAGGTTTTCATAATTCACTATATACTATATTTTTTGAAAGTATTTTCTTGGTATTTTTATTTCCCGATAGCACTACATTTTGTATCACAATAGTGTTAATGGTACTTTTGCCACTTGGTACAGTAAATAGCTGGGAAATTGACAGCTGTCGGTGTCAGGAATGACAAAGGTGGCCTGTAAATGGGCACACTAGGAGGGGGAGTTGGAAACTTCAACCTGAGTGCCTACTCAACCTCCAATTTTATGTGTGACTTAGATAAATCATTTACAATGCTTTGTGTCTTAAACTTCCAGCTGCATAATATGAAGATAAATGTGTTAAGACTTGCACCTTCTGCAGTAATATGTCATCATAAAATCATATAAGCCTGATGCTACACTGATTGCTGTTCAGGAGCTAGTTATTAAAACATTTCAAATATACTGTGATTTATTGGAGTCGTGTTGTTATCGGGATCGCTTGTGAATTACGTACATTTTGTGAAAGGAGTCACAACCAGTGGAAGGGGTATTTATTCGTAGACATTTTCACTTTGCTGTAGGCCTTACAAGTGATCATTAAGTTTCTGGCAGTGGGTTTACATATGCATTGAACCCATCAGTTTCTGCTCCTAACTTGGACAGCGGATCAGTGAAAGGCATGACAAAGTACTTTCTTGCCTTGTTTAGAAGCCTGATACTCCTCCCTCACAGTTCCATCCCTGAGCTTTCACTTAGCTTGTATTTTGAACAGGAAAGACACCCAGCACCCGGGACAAAGAAACCCTCAGCATCTTCTGAGATTGAGAGTCTCTGAACATCTTGCTTCCCAATTACTGCTAATCTCAGCACCCTAGTAATGGAAGGCTGACCCTGAATATGAAACCTGTGTGTCTGAGAGATGCTAAGAGCTTTAGGTTGGTGCTTCTCAGGCATCTATAAATGCATGCTTTACATATGTAATTTTTTTCCCTCCACAGAAGAATTCTTAGAACATGCAGTAACATATCAGCAGTTTGTAGACAATCCTGCTATCATCGACGACCCTAACCTCGTGGTTAAGATTGGAAATAAGTAAGTATAATTCAGGGGGAAAAAAATATTTTTGCTGTTGTAACAAAAACACTTCTGTGGCACTTCAGTGCATTAGATCAGTTTAACCATAGCTGAAAAACAGATTTTGAATGTTCATAGTTTAGTTTCATGCAGAGTCAGCTCTCTAGTGAATTCATGCTCTTCTAGTTACCTTTCTTCCTTTAAATTGAAACCAAAGAGCAGTCTGAGATGACCTGTTAGAGGTAACTGATGCAACTTGAATTTCAAGAAGTTAGTTTTAAATGCTAATAGTGTTCACACTCAATTGGCAGAGTAAAAATGAAATAGGATGTGAACTTGCTAAGGCTTGCCCTGAGCCAGTTTGAATAATTAATATTTACAGGGATATGGCAGTCTGCTTGCAAGCACTTTGTACCCAGAAGTTTGTCTATATATACTGAATATTTTGCGTATATGCCTCTGTGGAGGCATTGCTTTTCAAGACTTGTCAAACTTCACCCACCAGGTGTGAGACTTCTATTTCTGCAAGGCTAAGACATTATTTCATATGTTTATATTGCTGGTAGCAGTGCAGCACTATGGTCTCTGCCAGATGCAGCTTTTCGGAGGGTGTTTTAGCTTGAGAGCTCCTTGCACATGGCATACAACGCTGCAGAGTAGAGGAGAGATCACAGCATTGTGCTGCGCTTAGAGGTTAGGCTGCCCTTTAGTCATAAACATCACCCATACAAATCTGACATGCCTGGTGCGTCCTTATGCGATAGTTTGTATTGCGTATGTTACGGCCTCATACCTGACCTTCTCTGTGGTCTGAGGTGAGTCACTTACTGCTTCCCTGCCATAGTTCTCTGAATTTGATAGTAATGTTTACCTGCCTACTGATATGTTGGGAAGAGAGGAGTACTTAGTGAGGATCTTTCTTCTGTATTCTGTGGCTGCCTTGTGAGCTTCAGCTTCCCTAGACAGGTGGATGATAATAGTGTTCGTCCTAACGTCTGTACAAGAGTTGACCCATGTTCAGCACATAATAGCAAAAGCTTGACATCCTACAGACTACAGCCCCTAACTTTTACGTAGTTCCTTGATGGAAAAAACAGTGAAAACAGCTTGTAAAAAATGTAGCTGATGCTGTGATAATAAGGCATAGTAAGGACATGAGGAATGTGTGACAGATACCCTTTCTACTTAAGGACCTAGCTTCTCTTGCATACCTTGAAAAGTATATGCTGTAAATACCTGTGAACATACTGTGGAATAAGGTGGGTCTACTATTACCGATGCAGGCCAGAGTTTGACCTGTGCTAAAGAGGCTTTGTGGCTTCAACCTGGCAGATGATAAATACTAGGTAGATTGTGAATTGGAACCTTGGGATTACAAAATGCAGTAATCATCTCTTTTGCATGCCCAGGTACTACAACTGGACGACAGCTGGTCCCCTTCTGCTGGCAATGCAGGCATTCCAGAAACCTTTGCCAAAGGTGAGATTGAACATGAAGGTTGGTCAGAGGAGGAGTTGTGACATTCTACCATTTATTAAGGCAGGGAAGATGATGTTGTACAAGAGAATCTGCCCATCGGTAATAGCTGTCCACACATAACCATTCATCTGGCTTATGCTAAGGGCTAAATAAGCAGAACTAAATTTGGTCTGTGAGTAGTGTTTATTTGCTAGGCTAAGATCATTACAAATATTTTGAAGAAGGAAAACTTCCTGTTTTCCTTCATTAATATGGATTGTAAGCATAAATTATATTGACCTATGTTAGTGTTTGCTGTAGCTGAATACTTGGTGACTGCTTTCCATTTTATCTGTATACAGCGTATATTATTAAATAAAAATAGAGGCCATTAATTTTAACCTCAGTGAATGAGCTTTAACTGCTAGATAAGGAAGGCCTGTAGCTTTCTGGTTTTCTATTTCTCGGTTGGTTGTTTGTAACCCACCCAAGTAGGTAGCGGCAGATAGCTACGAGTATGTGACAGCTATGTATGTTGGCTTATATTAAACGTCTTGATGAACTTAGTCGAATTCCATGTGACCTGGTGCCACGTAGATGCTCAGGACAGAAATACATACGACTGTAAACATGTATAAAGAAGTAGTATTACCATTGGCACTATTTTGTATCCAGGTTAGCCATGGATTTAATAAATTTTAGAACTTAAACTTTCCTTCTGCCATTTGCAGCACTTCACGTGTCTTTGGGTTTAATCTATGTGAATTCAAATGCTATCTCTGTTGCCATGAATGTGGAATTAAAAATTTCTTCAAAGCCCGGAATGCTCTCTACACTGTGTTCTTTTTTTAGTGCCAAGTTACCTATGTACGCAGTCATGCGTAGCTGCACTGCAACATCCCAATAAAGTAAATTGATCCTAAAAGTCCCAAACATCTGGTAAACCTGGCTTGAATTTCAAGGAGCCAGATGTTTTGCACTTTACTGCAAATATTGTAGTAATTATCAAAGGTGGGATTCATCCCATGGAACTGAAATGCCTGCAGAAGGTGTATAGTTATCCTACTCGGTATTTGTGGGGCAATTGCACAGAGTGATTCAGACTTTGATAGGTGCCCATTGGGTCTTCAGTGGCAATAAAGATAATGCAGGGTAATTGCATTTTTAATTAAACACTTTGATACCTGAGCCAGATATTTTGGGTTTTGCCTATGATGAGTAAATGGAAAGAATTGGTATGAAATATTTTTGCTGTTAAGGGAAATGGCAATTCTTTCAACAGCATTGTGGTTATGCCATTATTCATATAGGTTATCGGTTAAGAAAAGTGTTCTATGAGTATGAAATTCAGTGTGTTCATTTTTTTTAATGGCTAACTTATATTCTGAATGCTGATAACTTTCTAGGTGTTGCAATTTTAATTTAGCGGAGAAGCCAGTTTATATAGCTGGAAGAGTATGTGATTGGGAAGGTTGCTTCACTGAACTGTACCTCTGAAACTAATATTACTCATTTATTCTACCAGTCATCCTACTGGTTTTCTTAATGACTTGTTAATTAGAGTTTTGATTTGCTGTAATAATGGAACTAAGGGATTGGAATACTAAGTTACTTTATCAAAACAGGCTTTATGAAATGACTGAAAACTGGAGTTTTTGCAAAAAAAAAAAAAAATCACTTATGTTCTGCATAATACACTTAACCACATGTCTAATTGTAAGCATGTGAATTATCTTGCTAAAAGTCAATGGGGCGCCTGCTTGATGTTGTCCATATGTTTGAGAACCTCCTTAAATTGTAGCCATTGTTCTCAACAGTGGCATTCCATTCTCAGTAGCTCCATCTGCTTCTTGTTTTTCTTATTTTTGTTTAAAAAGTTCTCAACTTATTTGCTCTACTTTATTCCTCTGTCATTTCTTTCTTTTCTTATATACTTTAGACAGCGTAGTGAAGAGAACCTATGGAAAACTGGGAAAAAGGATGCCTTGTCCTGTACATTAGCTAAACTTAACCCTCTCTCTTAACTGCTAAGAGTTATTGGAATCAGTGATTATTATATTTTTTTTTAAATCACTAATTACTGTAACAGTTTTATTTGGTGACTTTGCTTACAGTAGAGGCTATCATCTCAGAAAGCCAGTGGCTAAGCTATTCTAGAGCGTACCAAACACTGTGGCCACCTTTACTGTAATATTTTGCTCTTTTGGTTTTTTTGCTTGCTCTCTGACTGAAAGAATTCAGTTCTTTTTACAATGTGTAAGACTCCAGTCATTATGGGTATTGAAAGAAACTTTTTTCTACTGAGGTCTAGTATATATAACCAATGAAAAGTAGCCATGGTTTAAAAAAAAACAGTTCTAACGCTGTCGGTCAAATTCATAGCATCATACTAAGCTCCTAAAAGCTATTAAGAACTTTGGGTTTTTTTTTTCTAAACTGGTCATTAAATATGAACGTTGTAGTTATTTTTAAATTAGAATAACTATCTTGCATGTGGGTTTGTTACTGGTTTGCATGAGAGCTCCTTTAGGAAGTGGTATTTTTCTTTTCTTTTTTTTAAATATAATTTGCACTGAGTAACTTCAACTTAAAACCAGTAGGTCCTCCATTCTAGACATTATACTAATATCTATTTATGTTTTTTTTTCTTCTTTGGTTTTATCTCTTTTTCATTTTCCTTTTAAAAATACCATAAGTATTCATGCTTAAGTTACTTCAGAGCAGCTCTGGATACCATTAGATTTTGCTTTAGTAGAATTTATGGTCCACAGACAGTATGTTTACTTTTATTCTATTTATTATCAGTTAAAATTGTGTGTTTGGCACTTTCTTTCATTTACATATATCAGGTTGTCTTTTGTTTTGGGTTTTTTTTATGTTACCATCCGTTTATCACAGGCCACTGTGGAATCTATAATGAGGGACAAGATGCCCAAAAAAGGTGGAAGGTGGTGGTTTTCATGGCGAGGGAGGAACAGCACTATTAAAGAGGTAAGTGTAAGAAGGATTTCCTTCTGGTCGCAGTGGGAAGGCTGGGTACCTCCATATTCATTCCTTGGAACTTTGTTTCTGAGAGTAACTCAATATTCAATTTGACTGAGAATATACACATTAAAAGATGTTTAAACAGCATCTAAAATCTGACTTCTTTTTACTTTAGAAAGCTTTGGAGCAGACCCTACCTGAAACATTTGCCTGCAGTGTTTTGGTCCTGCATTTATTTTCGTTACACAAACCTGAGGCAGTATTATCTAAAGGATTAAATTTGTGTTTGGGAACCTAGAGTTGAAGAGCTGTGCCACTAATTTAATGGTTTTGTGCAGATTACATACCTTTCTGCAGCTTTCTTTTGGTAGTTGAACAGACATATTTGAGTAGTGTGAGCTGTAAAATTCAGCAAAACCTAAGATGGAAAACTGACTATGTATTAGTTTTAAAGTCTTTTTGAATTTTTCTGAGCATTAGAAGTTTGTGGTAACAGTCTTAAAGCCATGGATGAACATTAAAGAACAGTGAAGAAAGCAAAACTTTATATGAAATATTGATCTCCTGTCTAGACATACTTAATCTTTAAAGTTGGCTAATAAAACCTCTTCATACTAATTTATACTACTGAAGCATTAGTACTTGAGGGGAGAGAAATTACTTCTAATACATTTTTATGGTTGTGCCTCAGTCGATGAACTTTTTTAGCCTTGCATGAAATAACCGTTGTACTGATCTGTGGGTATGGGCCTCAGAGCATGAAGTTTTTAGTTTGTTGAAGCTTTTAGGATTTCTCTCTGAGTGGAAGTATTTAGTTATCTCTAGAGCTGTGGCAACTATAAAGGGATAAGGGGAGGTGTTGTTGTTTGTGTGTCTCATAAAATCATTCACTATTTTAAAATGTGGTGGGATGAAATTGATAGAGCTTAGCATCTACTCAGGGTAAAAGCAGTTTGGAAAGCTTTACTGAATTCAAGATTTTAATGATTCTATGAAAGGTAATTGTATTTTTTTTTTCTTTCTCCAGAGCCATACTTTGCTTTTTCAGGTGAAATCTAGCTATTTGAGGTGCATGAACTGAGTAGTGATGGGATTGATCCCAGAACTTCAGCTGTGCTAGATGTGAAATCTGTATTTCTGTACTACTTCCATGCAAGATTAAATCTTAATTCTTCTTCCGAGTTTTATATTTGAAATTTTTAGTTCTTTGTTCAGCATTTATTCTTTACAAAAACCATGAAGTTTCCTTTGTCTACAAGCAAAGGAAATGAACATGCTGTTGATTTTTACCAATTCTGTACAAGACAGAACTTGGTTTTCAAATATTTTTCTGAAAACATTTGCTCTTTGCCCAGCAGGAGATGCAGAGCTTCTCATACTTATATTTTTACAGGAAACAAAGCCAGAGCAAGGTATGAGTGGGAGTGGACTTACAGGAGAAGACTCTTCACAGATGAGCATGGCAAACAGGTACCCCCAAAATTATCTGTACCTGAAATGAGCAGGAGTTGCCATTTAAAAATGAAAGCAAGCTACCTCTTATATTTGAGCAAAGAAATACTGTGTCAGTGAAATATATTTAATTTGTTATTCATTACAGCAAATAAGTGGAGATAAGAAGGCTCTACCCATGGCAGGGTTGCAGACCTTGCAAGCACGCTCTGGCATTTCTGTGGTTTGGCTGGCAGCTCCGTGACACATGTTCCAGCCCCTTGAAAACAAACAATAATTGGAGCAGTTTGCTGAAGCTATATGTATCTCTCTAGAATTTTCAAGGGAGCATCACAGATGACCTCATGCTGTTGTCAGATCCCAGTTGCTAAAATTTCTGATCTACTTATACTTATGGCCTGACAACTTGATTTGTTTCTGCCTATTTTGGGAAGTTCAGGGGCCTAAGACTTTCCAGACTTTTTTTTCACAGTCAGTAGTCATGTTTTTCTATTACTGCTTTCAAGGATTGTAGAAATTTCTTCCTTCTCATGCTCCAAACTAATCATAATGTATGTCTAGATTCTCTCCTTCAGGAGGGTTCCATAAGATGATCTTTAACTTGCTTTGGAGGGATGAGTTAGCCAGGGATAGCTCTCCTACCTTGCCCCTTTGCTGTACGTACAAATCTTACTGTAAAGGCAGCCCGTCCATGTGCTGTCTGCACTTAGAACTGAAAAGGGTCAGATTCAAATATGCTTTATGCTCATTAAGTTCAAGGATCACATTTATGAAACTGTTATTCTTTCTGGAGGTCAGCAGCTGCAGTCCAGGAGAATATGCTAGAAGGAGGATTCTTCATTCTGTAGGAGACTAGCTGTTATCTCTGCCTCTCTGAGCTTGAGAGTGCCACAAAATATAAATGTGAAAGGCTGATTTTCCTTTTAAGGATGACAAGTGACATTTAGGTCTGTTGTTTCTTACATGGTTGTTTAAAGCTTATCTTTAAAGTGGGATTAAGACTTCAAGCAGACTAGATTCTGTAATTGTCGTTCTTTGTTTAAATTTTAACTGACCTTAGAAATCTGTCATTAAGAATTTACTGCTTGCAAACAGAATGTGACAAGTGGGATGTTGAGTAAAGCTTCTGAGATCCAAGGGTACAAAGGATAAGATAGGCTTTTAAATGTTGCTAGTCATGACATGCAGTACCTTGATATTGGGTCAAGACTTCCTAACATCAAACAACATCTAGGTGTAATCGAAGTAAGAACCCAAATGCTGATGAGATTTGTAGGAGCTGAAAGGATATTTTACCTTCTACCTAAGGTGGTAGATCTTTTTACTGTTAGGAAAACTTTTTCTCTGAAGAAAAACATCCTTAGCAAATTTCTGAAGAAGTGGTTGTAGCAGAAAAAAAAAGTAAACATTACACTGATGTGTATTTGAACAGAACTGTGTAAAGGAGCTCAGGTTTTATGACTTTTCATCATCATATCCTGAGTGGGGTAATCCTGCAAATCTTGGAAAAGAATAATCCGATGATCTAAAGTTGCTCATTGAAAGAGAAGGGGGATTTACTTTCTATAATAAAATTTCCATCACCTGGATTTTTTTTATTAATTGATAAATTATTTGGGGGAGGGGGAAAAGGGAGGAAAAGAAGGCCAGCATAACGAACTCCTTTTTCTTCGTCTGAGAACTGAGAAATCTTTGTAGTTATGGTCTCTAATGGTGGGGGTTTTGGTTTTTTTACCACTATGAGATTTTTGAGTCAATATGGTACATTAATTTACATCCGTTAAATTTAAAGTAATGAAAACTAGTTATAGACAAGTGAATGGCTAGAATGATCCAAGTATGAATAGTAGGGAACATGCATGAATGAAAATTCAGCACTTCATTGATATATTTAAAGCCATGATGTGAATGACCTCCTGTGAGACAGTACTTAGGAGCAGAGAATCAATGACTTATTTGGTGACTCACTGTTAATGCATTTTTAATGGATACTGAGATGCATTTACTGATGTGATAGCATCATTTTCTGTGTGTGCAATGTTCCAGAATAAAAGATGAATCTTCTTCAAGCGATGAAGACCCTAGAGCTGCCAAACAAAACCTCGGGTCATTACAAACCAGCTCAAGTCATCTTTCATTATTGTCTGGAATCAGTTACAAAAAAACACTTCGACTCACTTCTGACCAGCTTGTGAGTTAATTTTACATCCTTGTCCTGAAATGTCATTTCTAACACAACATGAACAACACTGTTACTCAGGCTTGCAAAGCTTAATTAGCTCTTACGTCTTGCATTTAATTCTCTCTCTTACTATATTTTGAAAAAAATTCTTTTCCCTTCTCTTTTCAGTATTAAGCATGAATGCTGTACCTTGCAGCAAGTGCTGGGGTTCAGAGATTGGGAGACATAGGATCCCATTTAGAAAAATATCAAAATGAAATTCCAGAGTATGTATTTGTCACCTGAACAGGTGTACTGGGAACAGTGTCTTTTTTTGTATTGCGTATAATGTGTATATGTCAACCCACAGGCCTCTCTTCTTTTGCTTTTTTTTTTTTCTTCTTTTTATTCATCCTTCTTTCCTTTTCCCTCATTCATAGGCAGATAGTCACATTTTACATAAATACAATTTTCTGTTAGTAGCTTCTGAAAAAGCTGCTTGTGAATTTACTATGAGGCCAGGCTCTTAATTTCTTGGGAGCCAATTCTCTTCCTCTGTGACAGAGGTGTTTTGACTAATGATGACAAAACTGTAACAGTTTTGTGTTCTGCACGTTCCAATTTGATCTGGAAAAATGAGCTATTTTAGGGAAATACTTTTTGTCATCTTATCTACAGCCAATTAGTTTTCTGAAGGAAACCCATACAAGGCATACAGCATTAAACAGCCCATCACTCACTGCCTGAAGTGTTTGTAAGAAATGTAGAATTTTTCCTAAGAGACAGATGGGATGTGTTGGTAATTTTGTATAGCAAATGGAAAGTAAGGGTTACAGAACTGTACTGATACTTTTCAGATTCAGAAACCTTGCAGAAAGTAGCTGAAGCTAAAACTACTTTTAGATTGGTTTCTTGCTGAAACAGTGGGTGAGATTCATCAGTTACCCATCAGTTGTTCTGCATTCCCACCTGCTTTTTACTTTTTAACTAACTGAAAAATCACAGTGAAATATATCTGAGACAGACACTTAAAGTATTAAACTCCTGCAGGTTTTGTGAAAATTAATGGTTAGGTCCGCAGTTAGAATCAAATCAGTAGTTTCCTGCCCAGCATGTCACTAAGTGACACAGGAGACAGTGGGAGGGAAGGGCAGGGAAGTGAGAGAGTTAAGGAAATTTGGTGGAGACTGAAGGGTAATAGATCATATGGTATGAGAGGTGGGTTAGTATAGGAAAGAGATGTAATGCCATAGGACACAAATCCCCATATAAACACTCTTAAGTGGAGTTCATGGAACTCCCGTTACCCACATTTCTCTCTGCATACGTATCTATATCTCAGAATGGACCCCCCCCCATAGGTAGTCCCTATTCCATAATTCGTTATTGTTTATGTGAACTTTTGGGGATTTTTTTTTTTTTTCATATCCCTGACTGTGAAACAGATTTTTGTTTTTGTTTGTTTTGTTCTGCTCTATAAATCAGTGCCTAATGTACACCACACAGGGCAAACCTCTGCTATCCTGATTTAGACAATAGCTCTGCTGAAAGCAATAAGATTCAGTGTGACCAAGGCAATGATCATCTGTGGCTTTGTTTGCACTGTGTCCATTTCACATGCTCAGTTTGTTGATTATCTTGTTGATAATGTCTTGCAGAAAAGCTTAAAGCTCAAGAATGGCCCCAATGATGTGACCTTCAGTGTTACAACACAGTATCAAGGCACTTGCCGTTGTGAAGGCACCATTTACCTATGGAATTGGGATGATAAAGTTGTTATTTCTGACATTGATGGAACAATCACACGGTGAGTTCATGAACAGGGAGAGGCTTTATCTGCAAGGACAAGTTGTCCTTGGGACTAAAGGAAAAAGTAATTATCAGGGAATTTTGAGTCACAGAATCATCATATTCTGGTGTTGGGGGGTGGTGGTGGTGGTGGTTTTGTGGGGTGGCTTTTTGGTTTGTTTTTTTGTTTTGTTTTGGTTTTTTATTTGGCTTTCAAACAATGCAAGAATCATTAGCTGAATTCTTAATTTCGTAAAGACGCTTGCCATATGTACCCATTATTCATCACCTATTGGTGTTCCATGATAGTATTTACAGTAGTATTGGAGGACCTTCTCCAAAATCATAACTTTTTTGCTGCATCACACTTAGGAAGTGCACTGGCTACATTAAAAAGAACAAACACACGAATTCTGCTTTATAAAGGTATTATGGGGCCATTCCAGTGAGAGGCATTATTATTTAGAAGACGAGACTCTGAAATCAATGTCAAAATTAAATTTGATGAGAAGTTTCAGATTAGTACTTTGGGTAAAACCCACAATTTTGGAGTGACCAAAACTAATAACTTACTTGCTGATTGATTGATTTTATTTATTTTTTTAGCATCAAGGAAAACAATTGTGTGTGGAACAGGGAAACATAATAAAAATATAAGCATTTTCTTTTGACTTTGTAAAATGAAATGCTTAGATTTGTTTCATGACCAATTTCTTTCAAAACCAAACTTGGCTATATATGATTAGAAAAAAGAACAGGGAAATATAATTTCCAAGAACAATGAGGTACATTAAAATACGTAATTTAAACTGAAACTCTTTTCTTCCTTGTGATTTATCCATTGTAGGGTAAACCTGGTTTGTTTTTTTTTTTTTTGGTGCCAGCATAAATTCATATCCCACCCTGCTTTGTTTTCTTAAGCTTCAATAAAGTGAATGGGATTTACTCTTTGCTGTTGAACTGATGAGAGAGTTACGGAATCACTTCACCTTATAATACCATTGCAAATTCATCCTAAGCCACTGCCCAGTGTTTTCTCTCTAAGATGCAAGACACTCAGGGTGTGGATTTCTTGTTGTGTCTCCATATAATGCTTAGTCAAGTGAGGTGCTCACTTGTTTGAATTTCTAGATGTTATTGTAGTGTAATAACTTTCATGTAAAGTGGGAAACACATTGAAACCAGTACAACTTTCACAATACTTTATATGTGACCAACTACTGGCTTTATGTGGAGAAGTTAGTTTGAAGTAAGCTAGAATGTCACTTCTCGTGCTTGTAATTTCCCATAAACTTCCCTTATGGGTAGATTTGTTTTATTTAGAAAACATTTACTGTAAACCTCAAAAAGTATGCTTAGTACTGGCTGGCCTACTATACAGGTCTGACTGATAGCCTATATGCCGTAACTTCCATGTTACCTTATGGATCACTAGCTTATCCACAAAGACAAGTCCTGGGCCACAAGAGTAATTAAAACAACATGGCCGAGGATGGGCATGTCAGTCTGTCTCAAAAGGGGAATAAATTCATCCTCTTCTGATCACAGACAGTACCTTATAGAAAACCTTATTTTCCTTTGCCGCTAGCCAAATGAGTTAATGGGGTTTGTATTAGCTGCATCTGTTATTATAAGTATTGGGTTTTTTTCAGTTCAGTTGTGTTGTTTTTCCTTTATTCAGGTCAGATACTTTAGGTCATATTTTGCCAACTCTTGGCAAAGACTGGACACACCAAGGGATTGCGAAGTTGTACCATAAAGTGAGCCAGTGAGTATTCAGTAAATCTGTTCATGCATCTGTGGCTTGTTTGTGTTTATTCATTTGCACAGAAAAATTAAAATTTCTCTGAGCTTCTCTTAACCTATAAGGGTGACAATTTTATCAATATCTCATCACTTCAGTCATGCTTACACAGTGTAAACATCTGCTGTGTGATATCCAGAGCAAAACCTGCTTTGTGATATCAAAAGCAAAAACCCCCTACCAACAGGAAGTGATTGCTCTTTCAACCATTCCAAACACATAGCTACAGTTAGTTCCAAAAAATATAGTAATTTGAGTGAGTTGTGCAGTGGTAGCAAGTGGAACTTTCTTGCAAACTGGGAGTTGCAGCAGCAGTAATTCGTAAGATGCTGGTAACACTTTGACTTCTCTCCTTGTTGAGGGAATTGTGAAATGCATAAGGACTGTTTAGCCTAGGGTGGCCACTGTAGGTGGAGTTCTTCTTGCCAAACTTGACTAACCCGGAGCCATGCAGGGGTGAAATCTAAAACATGTGAGATGAATTCATTTGGGAGAGTTCCCTCTCCTTCCAGCAAGCAGAAAGGGAGATCAGTGAAACAGCTTAGACTTGAGCTGTCTAAACATTAGGCTTCTAGTCAAGCAAGATAAATATCACCCTTAAAGCAAAGCACAGTGTCATATCTTGAGTAGAAACACCCATTTTGGATACTCCCTGCTAATATTCTTGTTGCTTTATTTATTGTAAAAATAATGATGAGCTTCAGAGACATTGATGATTGTCTTTTGCTACAGATGATTATACAATTTATTTTGTTATTTCTTTCTATAAATATTTGTTGTTACTCCATTATTAAATTACAAAGTTAAGAAGGATCAGTCAAAATACTTTGTCATTGGTTAATTTTGAGAGTAGGTCTTAAGTAAACATTGCTTAACATTGCTTAACATTGCATTAAAACATGCAATTTAAAGGCATTGAAAGTCAGTAAGACATACGCTGTTAAGAGCCTGAGGAACTGGCTTTTACCTGGCAACACCAGCGTGGGCTGCTATATTATAGCTTAGTAGCTGATCTGCACTGGTGCCTGTTGTTCCACAGTCATAAATACCTTGTGTGCCACTGTGGGTGCAAGGACCTGGTTTCATCATGTTTACCTGTGGCTTGTACTCTCTGTGTACATGTATGGAGAAAGCCAGGCATCTTCAAAAACTAGTTGAATATACCTGGTTTCTGATGATGTTTTGAAAGACATGGTTTTTTTCCACTAGCTATTGAAGAAATATTGGGCAAAGTAGATCAGCTGTCCTTTAGGTCAGTTAATGTCATTAACAAGGAGAGTATCCTGGTATGAGCTAGAACGATATATTCCAAAAAACCCAGGGATATTTACTCTGATGAATATGAACAGGAGAAAAACAATCAAGCCGTACCAGCTCACATGGGGTGCTGTTGGGAATGCTTCTAGGTGAGCGAGGGTAGTGCAAGAGTGTACAGGTGTACTGTTGGTCCCCGGATACATTTTGCAATGTAGTCAAGCTGTGTGTACACTGAAGAATGGAAGACTAAGAGGATGGTGGATTTTGTGATTAGCAATTGAGAGAAAAAAGGAAATGAGGAGAAAAATTAATTGATGTCTGAATGGGATCAGATGAAGCATCTGATATATTGTGATGTTCAGATTTTAACTTTCACAAGGAGGATTACTGATTGCTGTCTGTTCAGGTTGATATTTCTGCATTACGCAGAAAATAAAATTTGTTTTCTTTTATTACATTAAATTCATCTGTTCTTATATATTCAAATTACTGGAAATGTTTAAAGAGCCTCTGGTACACATCACAACTGTCCCCTTAGTTAATATGATTTGTTCTGTGTACTAGTGTAATGCTAAGGTTTGTTTATTGCTTTTTGTTTTACATGGATGATGAATTATAAATTATGGATGATGGCATCTAAATTATGCCGTAGACACTTGTCTGTTCTTTTATTCTGTATAGACATACGTGGTCACAGAAAAGACAGGACAGCCTGGGAATTCACATGCTGAGTGGTATTTAGTTCTGTGTATAACCTCTGCATTACATTTGGTGAAAATGTTAATTAATTTTTTTAATTGCAGTTGTTATTTCTATGCCTGCCAGCATTGTCAATTGTTAGGGCTTTGGTGATCATAAACATAGGGGGGAAAAAATAGATATGAGTCATGTTGTTTTTCAAATTACAGAGTTAATTATGTAGGGGCTAGATATTACAGCTGAACACCATATAAATGTTCAATAGTTAGATTTAATGACCATGTGTGCACTGAATACAGTATTTATTTTATGAACAATAATTTCTTTATAGGACTTGCAGAGCAAATTGCTATTAAGTTGAACTAACATTATTGGACTCTGTTCTATCGTGAACAGAACCAAGGGTAACCTATGACTTCTGCCGAAGCTTTTATTTCAATGTCAAGTCAAGGATTGCTTCTCTTACTGTGTTTTGAAGTTCAAATTTGCTCTGACTTGAACGAATATGCTACTGTTGCAGAGGCCCAAGAGCCAGGAGTACAATGCTGTTAATACAGCAAGGTTAATACACCATTGTCTGCTTTCTGCCAAGTGTCTTCCTCTTAGCAGATGCCATTTCAGTTTATTCTAGGGAGTGTGGTTCCACTCTGCAGGGGCGGATAGAAAACCATAAGAAGTCATAAGCCATGAGAAGACCAGAGATAAATGAGCCTACTTTAGGTATAAATCACTAACTGCAGTAGAGCTAGATGGATTTTCATATCCAAGTTTCTGGCTTATATATTTTTATTCCTTTTAAATAAGTCTAGGTTAAACTTAAGTCTGTTTAACAGTCATGACTTGATTCATGTGAACCACACAAAATTATTAATGTCAAAATACCTGCTTTATTTTTACAGTACTTTCTTCTCTTATTTCTGTTCACAGAAATGGATACAAGTTTTTGTATTGCTCAGCACGCGCTATTGGAATGGCAGACATGACCAGAGGATACTTGCACTGGGTCAATGAACGAGGAACTGTGCTGCCTCAAGGGCCAGTGTTGCTGAGTCCAAGCAGCTTGTTCTCAGCTTTTCACAGGTACCGTAATGTCACTTTTATGCAGAAAGAAACTCAGAGGTTGGTGGAGGCTGAATTCTCAGCTTTTTTTTATGGGAGTGCTTGAAATTGTTCATAATGTTTTTTCTTACATATTGGTGCAAAATTCCATTAAGAAGAAATTTTGTTAGAGACAGACCAAAATTCAGTAGATTGTCACATTGCTCAGTTTATCTTTTAGATATGCCTCAATATACATCTGCATTCACTGTTTACCAATAGGTGCTGCCTGTTGACTTCACGTGTTTAACATGGTGTGTTAATTTTTAGCTATGGGAAAAATGTTCACATATTAACAACAATCACTCTTGTCTTGACTTGTAAGATGTTCGAATTGGCATAAATATTTTTTTGTGGAAGAATATTACCCGGTAGGTTTTGAAGAAATTCATGTGAAAAAGAAAGGAACTTTTTATACTCCTGACTTCACTGTGGTATTCTGTGTGGACAATGTTGTTCTTTCTAGGTGTTGAACTGTAATAATCTGTGCTATTATTATTCACTTATGAATATTGTACCTTCTTCCTAATTCAGTGAAGCATGTCAAGTGATTACTGAAAATATTTTAAGCTGCTAAAAGCTGCTGTGACAGGATATATTTCATTAGAATTTTTAATGGAAGGTTGTTAAGATGTTCTGATTGAGTGACATGCTACAGGCTGTCTTACCAGTCATGTTCTAAATATAAGAGACTGTGGAGGTATTATAGTGCACTTCTTAGCCTGATTAAATAATGAATGCAGTGAAAGGGTAGTTACTGTTACCTTATGCTCCTCATATCTAGAAATGTATTTGTAGTGATACTCTTTTGGTATCTTTTTTAGACTAAAGAATGCCCATCTTTCAGCGTACACTATTGTAACTGCTGTGATGTGTGGGCAAGAAGTGACTTTGTTGTTATACATAGATTTAATTATTGTGGTTTTGAGGGCTTTGACATCATGTGTATGCCAGACTGTGCTAAAGAGGAATAAAACCATCTTGCCTCCTTCTCAAACTTCGACTTATACATGGAGCTGCTGTTCCAAAGGGCTGTATTACTGCTATGAAGCTTCTGTACTACTCACATCTTCCTTGACATATGTGTTGGTGCTAGGATGTTGGATTTTGAGGTTCTTAAGGGCTTTTGTGTGATGCTGGCATCTTCCTGTGTTATGGGAACTCCAGACTCTGCCACCTGTTCAGCCTCCTTGCCAAGAGAAGCTGTTGTGAAAGGGCTTTTGCCCAGAGATGAGATAACTCCTCTGTTCATTAATGGAATTCTGTATTCTGTAAAGAGCAACTGAAGAGAAATAGATGATTCCTTTATTGCTTAACTTTTGCTAATTAGCGGTGATGGAGAACCCTGACTGTAGAAGCATCTTAACAGGCTGAGGTGCTTCTAGCACATATGGTAATTGCAATCCTTTAAAAAAAAAAAAAAAAAAAAAAAAAAAAAAAAAAAAGGGTGGGGGGGAAGCTATATACAGTAAAGGCTAATACAGTCTATGAATCATTCTGTAGTTCTCAGGAAGAAAGTTTACTTGATGACAATTTATGTCTCATAAGTTTTTATTTAGCAGTTACTCCCTGTAATCAACCATCTTTGCCCAGTCGCATCTTTACAATGTAGGCTTCAGTAGATGTTCCCTTGCTTCAGAGGACTTATTTACTGTGCCCATTATGTAAGCTTGGGAATGCTATTTTGTCTTCATGGGCACTGTGATTTCCAAATGAAGATCTGTTGGAGAAGGGTGGGGGTCCTGTATGAGTATCCAGCCAGGTGAAAATGTAGAATAAAGAAAAGAAAGTGGTTTGTGCTGTATTTCATGTGTACTTATTCAGCCTCCCTTTTTTATCATTTCAGAGAGGTGATAGAAAAGAAGCCAGAAAAATTTAAAGTTCAGTGTTTGACAGACATCAAAAATTTGTTTTATCCTAACACCGAGCCTTTTTATGCTGCTTTTGGAAACAGACCTGCTGTAAGTAATAGCTGAATTTATTTCTGTTGCAGAGAACAGAAACGTTACTGGTATTACATGATTCTGTTGCATTAGAACTTAGAAACTGTAAATAGGAGTTAAGAATATTTTATTAAGCCCTGTAAAAAGGAAAGTATAAAGGTTTTTCCTCAAAGATCTCACAGTGTAGGATGCAAACAGAGATGGAAGAGCAGCAAAGTAACTGCATTATATCTGCATAAGTTAGTATAACAGTAAATACTGGTTGAAATCCTAACTGAAAAATCCTTAAGCTTGGCTGAAATCACTGATCTCATTTTATTCCACACTGATACAGTGCCAGTGAGATACCTGTGGACAGACAGAAAATTTTTGAGATGAATATTGGTGGGGACTTACTCTTCAAACTCTTAGGTACATTCAAAAGAGCTTGGATTTCCCACTGAAATCAAAGGGTTCTACTTTTCATGGGAAGTGATATGTTGTTTGACACAAAGAGGGGAAGACAGCTCTCTATTGCCCATTTGAAGGCTGTATAATTGGGCTATAGGCTTTTCTTACTGCTGTCCTAGCCCAAAGAATACTTTCATGCATCTAGAAAAGGAAGCAGTCACAGAGGCAGGAACCCTGGCATGCGATTTTTCCCTTCTTTTAAACTGTTAAAGTGGTCCGAGAGACTGTTTTGATGCAGGCAAAGAGCAGTGTTCCAGGCAATTTCTGGATATAATTGCTGTGTTTGCTTGGGGCGTGGACTCTTCCCAGTGGGCATTTAATATAGCATTTGATATAGCCATATTGGGGGGGGGGGGTGTATGTGCGAGTGTGGAGAGGCCGGTTTGGGGTTTTTTGGTGGGTTTTTTGTTGTTTTTTTTTTTGTTTTTGTTTGGTTGGGGTTTTTTTGGGGGGGGGAGGGTATAGAGAGTTTAATAATTCTGACACAGTGTCAAGAGATTTCCAAGTCTGAGAATGGGCACTCTCACTAGTTTACTAGTGTAGATAACTGTATAGCTGCCTTTGAAATCTTTGAAAGTATCCTGCTCGCAGAAGGTTATATATATATATAAGACCTACTTTAGATGTTTACAGTTTCACTGTGCACCTAAATTCAGATGCTAACTAAATCAGGCAGATGGACCCCTTATTTGTGCCCAGGAGATCCTTAGAACATTTGGTACTTCCACCGGCTCTGTATTGGCATGTAGTATTTGCTGTAGAAACTGATGTGTAGTGTAATAATGTGTAACAAGTAACCTAGTAACACCACGGTGGGGTTTATAGCTAAGGACTGTTGGCATGCAGCTTGGGTGTATCCATCCTGTTTTGGAAGCTAAACCCATATAATTGTATGCCAGTATCCCGGCCATGCCATTCCGTCTTAAGAAAATGGTCCTTGACCCTTCATATTTCCTAGGACAGTTAGCAAGAGAACACTCCAGTTGGTTACCTCTTTAGTTGGTGGAGAGAAATGGGACATATCTGGAGAGTAAGTAATTCAGGTGGTGGGTGACCGTATTTGTCCACTGACTCCTCAAGAGCTAAAGGCTTCTCACTGAAGCGTCTGAGGACTGTAGATTCCAGCTGTAGCTGCTCAGCGCTGCAAGAGCTGAGGTACATTCACACTGATAGCTTGGGGAAATGATCAGTATAAATGTGGACGCTGGCCGTTGCCAGTGTGAATATGAACATTCAGAGACCGGGCAGTTTAGATGCCTAAATGTTGGACAGAGGTGCCTGGCAAGGTATTTTGGCACTAAACCCATGGATTTTGTAGCTACATTTGAGAGGATTCAGCGTGCCTTTCTGATGGCATGCTGATTCTGATTCGTTTCTGTACTTGTCTCCTATTTTTGTTAGGCTTGCTGACATTTATGAGCAGCAACTTTTTCAGCTTCATCTCTTAGCAAATTACATTTTTAAAAGCATTATGTTGGAGAGAGCAGGAGGTCCTCGCTGTCCCATTGCTGTATTGAGTTGTTATATCAAACAGCTTAATTTACATGATCAAGGTGCCTTTAGACATACGGTTCTGAACTAACTTTTTAGACACTTTTGTGGTTTTGTATTACAGATGATGTCTACCTCTAGTTTAATTTTTTTTTTTTGTGAACATTACAGAAATAAAATAATTGTTTTCACGCATATTTCAATAAAACTTCAAGTAAAGCAGTAAGTTAATGTTTCTAAAGGAATTACTGGTAACTCCTCTGAGTTGTTGGAGTGCAGTCTTCAGGTGTGAGATGTGCCACGGGCTTTGTGAACATCAGGATCATCACTTTCTCAATTTTCTGTGCTCTTTGTTTTGGTTTGGTTTTTTGTTTTGTTTTTTCCCCCTGGAATAAACTCAGTGAAATTCTAGTACTTGTGGATGTTACAGGTGTAGATAGTGCATGGACTGCCAGGATGCTGAATTCTTGAATTTGCTGGTGTTCACTTCTTTTTCAGCTACTTAATATTTTTGGAAGTCTTTACAATATAGAGATAAAAATAATCTTTAAATCTTCATTAACACTGCAGTCTTTCACGATCTCAGCTTTTAAAACCGTATCTAATGACTTATATCAGTAAAATGGAAGCTTGTTTTTGTTTTGATCTTCTGGGAATTATTTTCACCTTTGCTTTTGTCAAGCTTTTCTTCAGAACAGATCAAAACTTACTCATTGCTTTCCTTAACAATTGGAATTTTTTAGAAGACATTCTTAATTCTTTCTTCTAATTGTACTTCCAAGAGTTGCATCTGTGTTACCTGCTGGTGCTCACTGCTGCTGTTTTGGGATATATTCCTTGCTTTCCCTTCTTTCCCCCTTGCTCTGACAATGGAGTCAATACACGGGCATGGCACAAATCCGAACTCAGGAGCGAGGAGATGTTTCAGAGGGTTTAATGTAGACCTGGTTGTTACGACTTCCTATTGTGACCTTGTCCTCACAAACTAATCACTGTTTTACGTGTCAGTTATGTTTTAAGCTCTGTACACTGTTGCAAGATACTCAGTACAGCGCACTCAGGAAATGAAAAATTCTCCGAAATAAAGATGAAAGTGCACATGCTTTTACACCAAATATCATTAGTTTTTTAATTAAATGTTATTTCTATGTCAAGGGAAGTTACTGAAAAAAAGCAAACGTGATTTTGATCATTAGTTTAAACCGAAGTGGCAAACTCCTTACTTGCAAACTGTCCGTTTCATGAGCATTTTGTTAGGCTGACCTCATTTGTAACGTACTAGAGAATTTCAGATACACGATAACTAGGTACATTTAGTACCAATACTGTGCAAACGTGTTCTTCTTTGTAATATATTCCAGCACAAATAAACATTATTGTGAAAAAGGCAGAATCATGGATTTTTTTTTTTTTTCTTCTTTTTTTCTCTCTTCTGCTTAGGATGTTTATTCATACAAACAGGTGGGAGTTTCTTTAAACAGAATATTTACAGTTAACCCCAAAGGAGAACTTATACAAGAGCATGCAAAGACAAACATCTCATCGTAAGTAATCTCGTATCCCTAACACCCTATAGACTAAATCAATTTGCTGTTCTAATTTATGACTCAAGTTGCCCAAAGATGCATTTGATGCCTTAAAATCTTTCAAACAAAACATGAAAGAACAAAATAGACTTTCCCCCTTTCCTTCAGTTAAAATGACAAAAAAAGATTGTTTAGTATTTGGTTTAATATATTACATGATTAAAGTAAATGGAAAGGAATTCTTAGTGTACTATTTAGTCAGCATAAAAATGAGATTAGCTAGTTTCCTGAAGCCATCTGCCTTTTCATGGCCTTTTCAAAATTTCTCTTTCCTGGAGCTCCTGTCTAGAAGAGCCAGAAAACAAAATCTGAAGATAGGGCTGAGGGTTGCCAGCAAGATGCTCAGGCACTGTAACACCTAACACTGAATGGACATGGCCTTTAGTAATGTAAGAGTGTTCTTAACTGAAGGGGAGCCATATGCATATAAAATACCAATAATCAATTGAGTGGGGAGCTGCTTGAGCCAAGCTGGACAGAAATGGAGAAACAAAATAGGGTGCTTGAATATTTTAGCAGGTGATCTGTTTCTTACTAGGTAAGCATCGTTGCTTAAAATTAACGGATTTCTTACCCAAACTGTGAATCCTCTCTGGAAGCTAGGCACCAAAATAGAGTTTAGTTTTATTCACTTGAGGATGATGACTTGTCTTTGTTAAAGTAGCCATGCCTTAGTGGTTGGGAAATTACAAAAATTCAAAGTAAGAAGATCTGAAATGGTTCAGCATTCTCTTTTATTTGTTTATTTTCCAGCTATGTCAGACTGTGTGAAGTGGTAGATCACATTTTCCCTTTGCTGAAAAGAAGCCATTCTTCAGACTTCCCTTGTTCTGATACCTACAGTCAGTTCACCTACTGGAGAGAACCTGTACCGCCTTTTGAAACTCAGGATATACATCCAGCCTCATCTTAACCACATCTCCAAACTGCTGCCCTCAGCTCAAAGAATGGGTTAGCTTGTATTGAAAGGACAGCACTTGGCTTTTGCTGTTGACAGTTCAGCTGGAATCTGTGATGTTGTGAGCATTGTATTCTTTTGCTGTGAGCAAATTTAGAAATGCTTTTTCATGCTTAGTCACGTTTCCAGACGACAAGGAGTCTTACTAGGAACAGGAGTTGTGTTTCTAGCTCTTCACCCAGCTCCTCAAATTGTGTCATACAGTTTCATTATTTAAGGTCAAATAAAAGTGCTGTGACGTTGGAGTGGTGGTTAAACATGCCGTAGGGTTGTAAAGTGTTACTGTACCTCTTCTGCATCACGGAAGTCATCTTGCATCTCGTCAGAACCCTCTGCAAGTCAGGGAGCTGAAGGTGCTCGCCAGTCCTGACATGGTCTGGTTGACACGGACAGGGGTTGCAACCCAAATGCCAAAATTTCTTTCTCTGAAGGAGCAAATGATTCTTCATCTTTCCCCTTGCTTGACCAACAACTGTTAGTTGTAAATCAGTGTAGCTATCAAAGCCAATTGAGCTGTGTTGATTTATTCCAGCTTGTTTTGACATAGTAACACTTTTCTGAGGAAATAAGTGATGTATATGCTAAATAAAATTTAGAATTAGCAAATTAAATAAGATGGCCAGATTCTGGCAGTCTTTCTCAATTTGAGCTTCAAGAATAGCTACTTGGATTAAAGCAAGCGTGCAAGTGGAAGATGCAGGCCACTGTGCGTAGCGCCCATCTTAACGAAGTCAGTGATTTTCAGTAAAGACATCCACCAAATGTGCTGAGTTTCAAGGTGGTTACTGAGCCAAGAGTGCTAAGGATTTTGTCAAAACGTAATGGTTTTATTTGAAACATTATTTTGTCTAAAATGTGAACTTTGATGCTGTTGAATGATGCATCTCAGGTTTTTAGTGTATGGATTTTTTTTGATTTTTGTATCATAAAGAATGGATGCTTTTAGTGCAATTTACTCTCCTCTGAGGTAATGAAATCTCCTCTTTCATCTTTATTTTCCTTATTTGTCCAGACACAAGCTGTAGATACTGTTTTTGCTACCTGCTTTTGACTGCCTTAAGACTTAACTGTGCGTGCTAAAAGCAATACTGCAGATCAGTTGATAATGTTTTCCAAATGGTCTGCCTTTACACAATGCGATACTTACAATGTAGGCATCAAGTGACCATATGCCAAATGTTCCTCAAATGTGCTTGTAGCTAGGAAAGAAACTTTTTTTTTTCCTTTTGAAATATATGTAAAAGGCTAATTGTGCTCTGAAGCACAGAAAATGGCATCGTGGGATTCCATGTATATTGTATTTCAAGATGGCTAAAACAGTGGTTCTCAAGCTGTGGTCTCTGCCAGCTTGTGATCTGTGAGGCTATGGTACGTGTTTTGCAGCTGTTTTGTAGTGTTTTCAGTTACGAGTTTAATAATAGGAAGGCAGAGTGGTCCAGGAGAAATTTTAATATGTGATTGTGATCAGTTAGCACCCAGAAGTTTGGGAACAGCTGCTCTGTCTCACATTTGTTCTGTTTCAACAAATTCTGGTTTTGCATGTCAAGAGTGATAGCAATGTAGGTAGGTTGGTAACTCTCTGGTAGGGGGTTTCTAACTTTTAGTGCTTTTGTGGGATGTCGGGGCCAATTCATGATTTCTCTGTGCCTTCAGTAGTAATGAATATAAGTGCAATCCTTTGTACAGCTGCAGTGTGCAGTGGTGAGCCCTCCCTAAGTCTTCCTTTTCACAAGAATGTTGCTGCTTCAGGCAAGGTGCGTGCCCCCTTTGGAGATACCAGGATCAGACAAACGCAAAGAGGAAGAAATGCATGCGTAACAGCCCAGACTGATTATGCTCTCCTGAAAGTTTAAGGAAAATGCAAATATCTTCTTACTTATAGATGGAAGAAACGTGGTATGGATTTCCTGAAAGACAATCAGTGGGGACCACGGCTTGCCAAATGAGATGGTTGCATCTCTAAATATAGCCACGCTTTCCTTTAATATTTGTCATTAATGATTGAATTAATGGCTGAATATACTAACTGCATCCTATTTTAATTCAGTTTTGGTAAAGGTCTACTTCATTTATTATGCAAAATAAAACCAAACCAATCCTTCTTTTCAGTAAGAGGCTGTCAGTTTGTGTTTTTTATCCTTCCTGGTAGTTAAGATCTATTTTCCTAAGGTACCGCACACTGTAGCTTCCACCAGAAAAGATGGGCCCTGAAAGTTCTCCACAACCAAAGCCAGTGAAGTATTTATTTATAACTTAATAAATAGCTAATCCAGGGTTGTTTGGTGCCATTAGTATTTCAAACCAAGTGATAGCGGTCATTTTAATTCCGTCAGATTTTTAGGCGTAGCGCAGCACTGGTACAGGTGACCCTGGCATGCTGCGGAATCTCTGTCCCGGAGTTTTTCAAGGTGGTTCAACGGAGTTATGGCCGACTTCAAGCAGATGATGCCAACACTAGATCGAGCGTGAAGTTGGAGTAGGTGACCTCCAGGGGTCCCTTCTGACCAACATTTCTGTGATTCTGTGAAGTTAAAAGCCTTACTTCTGACATACTGCATGCCCTGTTGTATCTGAGAGTTGAAGTACAGCTGAACGGTGAAATGAATGTGTGTTTGTATTACTAATGTTTAGCAAATTCGCTCACTGAAAAGACACTTACGAAAATCAAAGTTTTGACCTGACCTGCTAGAAACATCACTGTACTATTTCAGAGAATATAAGACATTTTGATTTGGTAGCTGAGCAATTTTACATATAATATTTAAACTGCTTTGTTAATTCATGTAGAAGAAAAAGGGATGGTTTAACAAATTCCTACTCTTTCTGTGAAAGAAAAAGATTCAGCCTTGCTTGCAGTGTAGTGCTGGTTTCTGTTACAGAAAGAATATTTGGCTAACATAAATAGGCAGACATATTAAATCACAGTATATTCTATTTATACAATACACATGAACTAGAATATGCAGCCGTGAGGGGTGACTGATGTTTATTTTCTTGAAGCTGATGACCAGACTGCTCCAGCTGTGTCATGTGAGGGAAAGAATACCATACTTGTTGCATTAGTTATGCTAAAGATAAAATGTTTCTGCTGTAATCTGGGGAGGGAGGAGAAAGAGGATGTTGGGTATTTTTCATTTGTAGATACGGATTATTATTATTATTTCAAAGCCTATTTATACACAGTATTTACTCTGTATATGCTACTGTGATGGTGAAAATCACTCTTAACACCTCATTTTTTGACCTGCTGAATGCAACAAGGGTAGAAATATGTATTGTAATAAAGGCAAATACAATTTTTTTTCTGACTTTACAATTTTTCTGTATGCTTTGATAGTGGCAGAGTACTTCTGCAGAGCTGCTGAAACTGTAAAGCGTGGCTTTTGTAGTTCCAGCCTCGGTTGCCTGTCTCTTACCGGGGCTATCTGTGTAACAGCGTTTGACCCAGCACCTTCTCGAACGGAAGGAGTTCATCGAGGGAGAGGGGACCAGGATCTGGGCTCTGGCTGTCCTGGGGTGTAGGAACAGCACCGCGGAGCCCAGACAACCAGATGGGAACTGGAGCAAATTGGACCAGTCAGGAATCTTGCCCTACCCCAGAATTATTTTTTTAGTCTTTCATTTAATGCCTCGTGCTATCTATAGGAAAAACTCGCCATCTGTTTTGGATGGGAGCATTCTCATTCGTGCAGATAAGACCAGATAATTTTTTATTTCCCTGTTGTTTTTTTCTCCCCTTTGACATTGGCCATTCTGCTGGTGAGAAGCAGAGCCTTTTCTCCTGCCCGTGAGAACGCAGCGCTGCTTTTTGCTCCCTCTGCTGGGTTTGCTGAGCAAACTGACTGCGGCGTAGCGATACTGCCAGGCTTGTGTGAGTTGGTATGAAAACAAAAGATGTTTGGGGTTGATAAGGCTCTGTGGCAGCTCAAGTTCTGTGTTAAAAATACAAGAGCAGCCCTATTTGGGCAGCCTGCAGTCACTGCTGCTTCAATCTTCTCTATTTTCTGTATGTCTCTGGCTTGTATAAACATTTACATTGGAGCTCTGAAAACAGGCTTTGAAATGAAGGTGCCTTTTTAATTAAAAGTCAGAGAAATGGTGCTTTTGCATCAGCAAACCAAACTTCGTAAGGACATATTCATTGCTCATGGAACATCCTGGTACCACTAGAGGTGGAAAAGTCTGAGGGAGCAAACTTGAGGAGCAAAGGCCATAAAGTTGGGAGGGGTTTTTTGATGCTACGGAGAAGGTAGGGAATATTCCCAGATTTTTTCTGTATAAGTAAATAGTCTCAATTCAATACACACTGCAGATGCTATCAAGTACCTCGGGATAGATCATTGCAAGAGGCAGAAGACTTGGTGCTAAAATCTAGTGCCAAAAAGTATAACCTAATGCAATTTCCAACTCTTCTGTGGATGTGTAAAAAGGTGAAGCCTGGAGGTTGCTCTTGGTGTGGGGTGTTTTGTTTCATTTTATTTTTTCTTTTCATAAAAGCTCAGCAAAGTATGGTGGGGAAGGGAGAACGCTCACAGCACCACAACCTCTGGTGGTCCTAGCCCTTGGGCTGTTTGTAAAATCCAGCCCCTCACTTTGTTCTGTAGCATGTTGGAGATGGGAAAGGAAATGACTGGTTGTACACGAGAGATGAGAAACTGTCCCTAAAGAAAACTCGGCAGTGGTGCAGAGGAATTAAAGTTGCTGGATGCTTTGGGGAAGAGATCCTCGACAAGACCTTTCCAGCCCTTGGGATGTGAGGGAGAAAAATAAAGGCAGAATGAAAAATTAGTTTTCTTCTAGGAGGAACTAGAGAAAGGGAACAAAACCAGAGCCAGAGGCCAAAAAGCAGCTTCTTGTTTCCATCCCTGTGCTGAACCTAGGTGGCACCAGGTCTGGCGCTGAGCTCTACCTTTTGCCTCTTAAGCAGCCTTGCCTGAAATCCCGCCTGTCTGCGTGGCACAGAAGGGGCGAGAAGGCCCTTTTGGCTTCATTTGCCAAACAGGAGAGAGTAACGTTGACCAAAAGGAAATCTATGCTTAAGCGTCCAAGGGGTACTGCTAATGGCAAAGCAAAGTTCAATTACAGCTGGATTTTAAGCTTAGGCAAGGACTAGGGCTTTATTTTTTTCATGAACTTGGGAAACAAAGCTTTCACCTGCCAGTATGGGCACCTCTGTAGTACCGGGCGTGCATCCTTTTAATAGGGCTTGCTTCAGAAAATAAATACAGACATTGTTTATCAGCCTATTTAAGCACGTGCGTAAATCGCCCCTCCCTGCACTGAAATCTGTGCATATTCTTAAGCACTTTGCTGGATTAAGCCAACTAATGCCAAGAAAACCATGTACCGGGGAGATACGGTTTCCGAGCTGAAGAATTGATCTGGCCTTTCTAAAGGCTACTCTTGGACTGGTTTTTAGCCTCCAGCACTGTCAGGTGGTGTGCCTGCTGCCAGCAATCTATTTATTGATACAGGAAATCCATTTTGCCTTGCCTTGCTTTTAATGAGTTTTGCAAGCAAGTGGCCCCTTCCTGTGACTCATTCTGTGTTTTCTGAGCGGGAGATTGTGGTTTTAAGTTTCACGTTGGAAAGTAACCGCTGTGTCTGCTTTCCTTGTCTGCTGGAATCTCAACAAGAGGAATACATTTTGGAACAAAGAAATGTAAGTGGAGTAGAACAGTTCACGTTTCTTTGCAAAATTGTATAAACATCCTTTTTCGGGACAGTTCAAAAGTCGAGTGCAAATTGAAAATAGATGATGTTTTAAAATAACAGCTTTATCTTAGAACATTGCTGTTAACACGAGCAAAAAAGACATTTTCCCTGATATCTCAATACGTGTTGGCCCTTTCATTTATAGCTAATAAATATCCAAAAATTAAACAGTGGAGGTCTTTCTGTGGTCTTACTGACACAGGAGCAGCTCCGTTAGCATCTGGATGGCTGCTCAGATACACACTGCTACGACCGCAATCTGAAGTGTGAATGGCAAGTGCTGCAGATTTCCATCCAATTCCTGATCCCTCTCATCCCTTTAGGATACTGGAAGCAAAGAGGTAGGAGATGTGAATGTCTTTGTTTCTGACTTCTGCCAAAAGTATGGTGGCGGAAGGAGAGAATCCTCTGCAAGCTTGGACCGTTAGCACTGAAAACTTAGATTTACGTTAAAACCAGCCATAAATACATCAAAACCAGTGACCGGGACAGTTTCCATTCCCCATTGCTAGATACAACTATTTATATTTCAGGCTCAGTGGCTATGCCTGTACAGATAACTTGCTGCCCAGCGAAGGGCAGGGATCGTTCTTCGGCCCCCTTGCCAACCGGCACGCTTTGGCAAGTGTCCAGGTGCCTGCCTGCCAAGTCGGGGTGATCGCTGGCCTCTGCTGGACCTCAGGCTGTGCCCAGGCTTTGTGTGGAGGAGCACCGGCTGGCCTGGCCGAGGTGATGCCAGAGACCGTGCCAGCAGCAGCACACCGGACAGGCGACGGCATGCCAGAGCCTGGGCTTGCACCCTGACAGTTTGCTGACATGTCCAGGCTGCACCTGGGAAGAGCCGGGTCTGCGTCCCAGGTCTGGGCTGTAGCTTCTTTCCCCATGTGCATCCCAGCTGGCCAGATAATGAGATATTGGGACGTCTCTTTCCAGAGGGTTTGGGATGAGCTGGGCTCTTCCTACGGCTTGAGGAGGTGCTTCAGTTCTTCTGTAGTTCAGTTTGATCTCAAGAGGAGGCACTATCTGATCCCAAACTGCTTTCACCTCTGTCTAGTGCAAGCCTGTGCAATATTAAAGCATGTTAGGGAGGCTGAGATAATCCCTGCAGTTCTGCAAAAAGGCCAGGAAAATCTAAAAGCTCTGCTAGCACAGGCTTCTTTCTTAGAGACAAAGCATGGACGGGGATGCACAGAAAATCATACTTGAGAGCAAATAAACACGTTGGGAAAGCAGGAATTCAACAG